TTATTCGTTTCCTTTTTTTACACACGACATCACACAAGAACAATTAAAGTAAAAAAACGCGTGTCGATCAAATATGTCGTTTAAAAAATTTAAATTATTTTTCCGACGTAATAGAAGCCCCTGGGCTCTAATACACCTTCCACATCGATTGCTCCAGAGGAGGCTTCTAATACGGGGGGGCTTCTAATATGGAGGAGGCTTCTATTATGGGGGGGGGGTTAATGGACAAATCTTTTGTTGCGAAGATGTCGACATACGGTTTAAAACAAGATAACAGTTATAAAGTGGAGTAAAATTATTTCGTAAGAATTTTAATCAACTGTTTTTCTTGACATTTAATGGTGAAGTCGAGCCATACTTCTTAAGAGGTAGTTTTTAGCACTTTGATGAAATTTTCGGATATATAACCATGTAATTAAGAGATCATGTTCATAGTTTTAACGGATATCGGAGTTTCATTAAAGCTCTAGGTCATAGCTATTTTGCACGAGACATTTTAACGAAAGTTCAGGAACTTTCAGTAAAAACATTTTTAATGAAAGTGCCGGGACTTTCATTAAAAAAACGCTTTAATGGAAGTTTTTTTAATGAGAGTCACCCTGCCCGTTTTAACCACCGCAAAGTATGTGTTATAATCCATACAAACGTTTGATAAATGAAGTAACTGTCATATCACCATACCATAACCTATTACCTTTGGAAAATTACCGTTCAAATCCAGATAACTGATAACGTTAAAACCAAACTTGGTACGTTTATCATATGGCTTGATTTGTATTATTCTGTTAATTATATTCATTTCGAAATCTCAATCAATTTATGTTGCTTATTTTTTCACGTTAGGTGCTATGGCTTGGCATTTATTATTGTACAATAGTTCAGTAGAGAATTTAGCTGGACCGATCCTTTCCCGACATGCTATCACAAATCAAGATGTTGATCGTATGGCTGGCACTAAAGACCGCACACGTGTTTGTCATTTTGTTCGTGCACGCTTATTATCAACAATGAATTTTTTATCAATACGTTCAAATCGTGATGATGTATAATTGTAGATATATTTATTATATTAAGCTATACCATTAGTGATTAATTAAGAGGATTATTTTATGCAGTTAGTTGCTGCTTATTTTTCTGAATAATTTCATTTTGTCGACGTTATTCGAATTCTTTTTTGTTTACTATGCATAAATTTTTGTTTTCTTATCTGTCTCTGTGTTGTTACAGGATGTTGTTTTCCAAAGTGAGATTTACATAACAATAACAAAAACCATTCTTGAGAAGTGCAGTTTCGGTTTCTTCTTCAACAATATTTATATGCAACATACATAGAAAAACTATGGTGTAAGTCGTGTCTTTGTAGTACAATTTCCATGGACCGTACAAGAAGGCAGTTAAATTCTTTGTTGGCTTTCCGCTATGGCTATCGCAAAGTGAGGTAAGTTGTACCACGAAAGAATGTTCTTAGTAGACATGCGGTGAAAATTATGATTTTCAGTTCTATATTTGAAAAATTTTACTAAAACAATCCAATCCGTAGTTTTTGTTCTATCGGAAAACAGAGAACGAAAAAAACGTGATTCTCAACTTACATTTATTAAAAATACTGCCATTTTTGTGCAGAAAATAATGAAGAATTCATCGGTGAAAACCGTTTTTAAGTATCTATTTATGTTGCTGAGTTATAACGTTTTAATTGAAATCACTTCTTGTTAGAGAGTCTATGAGAAAAACTTGAATTTACTAGCCAACGACAGATAATCGATTTGGATGTGTCCAAGAATCCTCTACATAACCGTAATAAAATAGTTGAGTTTGAATGGTGGACAGATTTACGGCATCGAATCCTTAAATCGAGTCGGGACATCTCTTTACATTTAAAATTGTCTGTTCTTCGTAAGCACACCACTGGGTAAGACCGTAAACCCGTCTCCCATTCAAACTCAACTATTGAAATAAAGTAGATAAAAACTGAAAAAAGCTTGAATAAAATGTGGTCTTCACACGACTTTCACAAATAAGTGCCTTGTATAACAGACACTGCTTTTTCGTCTCGTCTGAAATGATAAGAAAAACGTCGATATCTACAACGTGTGTATATGAGAAAAAAAGATGGCGTCGACGATAGAACAGAATATTGACGAAAATTTTTCCCATGTTTCGGACATAATTTGTCAACGTTAATGGTCGAGTGTTTTAATCATTGGCTCATCGGACACTACCGCAACCAACGTTTCACCGTAACCATTAAAGCTTGTTCTCAAAGCTGAAGTATAAGCTCCGATCTGGCCGATCTCGATGAAATCTCCCTCTTCAATATCATCTGGCAAGAAAAACGGCCCTTGCATAAAGTCAGCATCGTCACAAGCAGGACCATAAAAACTAAAATTCTCCACAGTGTAGCTTGAAATTGAACTATCGAAATAGATACGGCGCACAGGAAATTGCCAGTTCATTGGTCCAGCGTCATGGAGATTACCGAAAATACCATCATTAATATGTAGTATATTATCTCGCCTAGCTGTTACACTAACGATTAGAGAACAGGCTGCTGCCACCAACGCTCTTCCCGGCTCACACCAAATAGCCGTTTCTGCTGGCAAATTCAGAGCTCGAAAACCACGCTCAATAGCGGAAAAATACAAGTTCAACGGTGGAGGTACTGTGTTTGGGTAACTGATCGGAAAACCTCCTCCTACATCAATCACGTCTATTCGGACATCTGCTTGACTTATAACACCTCTAACCATCATCAGAGCTAATTCATAAGCAGCGGGGTCTAAACATTGTGAGCCTACGTGGAAACAAATACCCAAACATTTGGCAATAGATCTCGCTCGTCGAAGTATGTTAACTGCATCTGGAATATTGGCACCAAATTTTCGCGAGAGGTCGCACATAGCATGTCCGTTCGGGACACTCAGTCTAACACATATACCAAGACTCCTCTGATCTTTGGTTACTTCGATGACTTTTTCAAGTTCATTAATCGTATCAACTGAGAAATCACGAACGCCGTATTTGAAATACGCTGAATGAATTGCATGTCGATTTTTTATTGGATTCATGAAATGAATTATTCCGTCAGGAAAAAGATTTTGGATAAGTTCGATTTCTTTCGGCGATGCACAGTCAAAATGGTGTACACCACCCTCCCAAACAGCCTGCAATACTCGTTCATCAGAGTTGCACTTAACGGCGTAAAGTACTGTTCCCGGAAAAGTCGCTACAAATCGAGCAGAAATAGATTTTATATATTTGTATCGAATACAATAGAGTGGTACCGATGGTTGTAACACTGACACGATTTCATCGATTGTGCGAAGATGAGGGCTATTGATTACTGGAGTTAACGGAGAACAGGCATTGATCGTGCAGCCATCAGCGCTTTTTTTGCTAGCAAAGTCAGCTACTTCCGCTGAGGTCTTTTGTTCAGTCGTTTCATCATCGTTTTCGGTTAACATAGGCATTGTCCACCTATCTATTGGTTGTTATAAGCTTTATTTGGTAACTATGATGTGGTCTATAAAAAAAAAGTGAAACAGAACAGAACAATTTCAACAATCAAAATGATCCGTGTGATGCGTATGATCCAAGGAGGAAAAAGCGGACTCCCGGACTCCCATGGACTCCTGGACTCTCATGGACTCCTGGACTCCCATGGACTCCTGACGTCCAGGAGTACAAGACCAAAGTGTTCTTTTTTGGGAATCACTTCCCAAAAAAGAACAAAAGTGTTCATTTTTTGCGAAGTGATCCCCAAAAAAGAACGCTTTGCACTTGGACTCCTGGACTTCAGGAGTCCATGGGAGTCCAGGAGTCCGCTTTTCCCCCCTTGGTATGATCACTATGTTTCAAAAAGTATAACTAATTCCCCACTATCCCAACACAATATATATTGCCTAAAACTACTTTCCGAACTCACTCTCACACTGTCCTCACCCCCTCCGCATCAAGCTTTATTGTCACCAAGCTTTAAGCTTTATTTGGTAGGTATGATGTGGTCTACAAAAAAAAGTGAAGCAGAACAAGAAGAAAGAGGCGAACCCATTATATCTTTTTGTTCTGTCGATGTTACATTGCACAGAAAGAAAGAAAAAGGAAAAGAGGGAAAAAATGCGCTTGAAAGCGAAGAAACGGACTATGAAGAAAAGCAGGTCTATGAGAGAGTGACAGGGCTCGAACCAGGCCAGGCAGCATGCCTGTCTGCCTGGGCCTGCCTGTTGCAGACAGACCAGGCTACAAATTTTCGGCCTGTACCAGGCTAAGGCAGATCAGGCCTAAACTCAAATACATTCAGACAGACCTTTGAAATGACCAGGCGGTCTAGCCTGGTTATTAATGAAAGCCGTGCATCACTAAATCCTGACACGGTTGAGGATACCTTGTAAGTTAGATCAGTTCAGAAAATACTTGAACAAAAATCAAATGTTTTTACTCAGATATATTGTTTAATTATCTGTCACTTTTCTTTTCATCCTATGTTACTATTACTTGTACATTTTGTTTATTAAAAAATGGCCCGGCATCTACAGACCAGGCCTGGGTAGGCTGAGAGCAATGGCAAGCAGGCAGGCAAGATCCAGGAAATATATCGACAGGCCCAGGCAGATCTAAACATTACAGGCCTGATGCAGGCAGGCCGGGCCTCAAAAGTGTCGGCCTGTTTCGAGCCCTGGAGAGCGATGGTGTGTCTCAGAAAACAGAAGTGAGATAAGTAGTGCTCATAAACGTTGGGTACTTTTGATATATTCTACGATTATTTTATGTAGCCGGATAATTGTAAAGTCATCGATGTTTACACAAGCACACACAATTTTACTAATCACAATTTCACATCATCTCAACAACTGATTTTTAGCAAAAAGATATTTTACACATCAAAACATCAGCACAAGAACATTTTGTACGCCTAAAATATTCCGATCACATCGACGCAAGTCACATCTGCTGCCAAAAAACTTTAGATCTAACAATTAAGATTCAAGAAAATAACTATATTTTTACTATATTCCAGTGACTAAGTGGCAGTGGATTAAACCATGTTTTACTCGAACTTTTCTTCAAGAACATGATGTAATCAGGTCCACGGAAATAAAAGCTATGAAATATATAAACCTCTCCGTTCTTCATAAGTCCTTCCTCCTCGAAGTTCTCGAGTTTGAATCAAGTATATAGCAATATCAACTACGTAAGTGTGCAAAGTTTCCCTCTGTTCATCTATCACAAAGTTGAGCTTCCTTCGCATATTTGAAGAATTATGTGAGGAAGAAGGTTCTTTTTGATCTCCATTGGTGATTAAGAAAAGATGGTTCAGCTATGTGACTAAGCGAATCTAGGAAAGATTTCTTTTTCCCTTCTCTCACTTCGTTCTACATTGCTGCCCTGGACGACCTCAAAACTTAACAAAACATAACTTTACTTTATATTCTAAATGAAAGCGGCTTTCAAGTTTGTTCGTTTGACGCAACAATGAAGTCTCTAGCACTTTTTACTTCTTCATGGTGAGTGAAGCCGGGAAACCTACTTTGGCCCTTCCTAGCCTCCTTCCTCGAAAACTACACATTAGTTCTTCGAGATCTTCTTACTCCACACACTACTCGACTAGTGTTAGAAAAGGCGCAAAGTATTGACTTTGGCCAGGTGATTTTTCTTGTGATGGTTTTCTACAAATCCCGTCAAAATCCCGATTGCTCATAAATATTGAATCCAAACTAGCCTGAAATTCGGATTCAGCATGTCACTTTATGGGTAATTTAGTATTTTTTCCCGTTCCTTATCCTAGCCAGACGATAGGATTTTGACGGGATTTCTAGAAAACCGCCACGAGAAAAATCACCTGGTCAAAGTCAATACTTTGCGCCTTTTCTAGCACTAGTCGAGTAGTGTGTGGGTTAAAAACCAATGGTACCTGCTAATGCAGATAAGGTCCTCCCGTCAAACGTTCTTTCCGAATGTCAGTGGCGAAAATCTCATTTGCGAATTAAAATATGCAACTTTGTATGCTCTTTCCAGCTAGCAATATGAGAACGCTTGGTAGTATTAGATAAAGTTAAATTTCGCTACTCGGGCAACCCTAAAAATGCTTCAATTCAGGACTTATGCCCGCCGAAAAACCATGTTCGGCATAATTTTTCTATAGGGCGACAGGGATCTTTACACACCTTTAGTAGGATTATCGATTGCAAATAGTCAAACCTTCCCGGCTTTTAGCTAATGTAATACTGGGCGGACCTGTGCGGAAGTACCCATATTGAAAATCTGTCAGTTCTTATCCAAGCATTCGAATGGTTTCATGATGTTACACGTGGAACCGGGGTGAATACAATATATATTCCAGATACTTGCACGTCATTTCTTGGAGCTAGTACCGGTGAACGTTTGGACAATGTTTTGCAACAATTAGAAAGGTTATAGCTGGAAAGACGAATTAGTAGTCTGACTTTTTACGGACACTAAATACTCTCAATCAATGTTATCCTGTGTGGCAATATTCTTGCGTTATGCATGTGTCTTCTCGTTGTATGAGTTTTAATAAACCTTACAGCGAAATCTTGGAGCGCTTACAATTAACAATTATCACATTTTGTTTAGTAGAATCATGTATAAACAAGCTGAGAATGTATGTGATCGGGGTTACATTCAGATACAGAGTTATACTCAGCTCTATCGTATCAAAATAGTTAATTGAGATACAAAAATAGCTGTCACCTAGACTCTCCTTAGTCTAAACAATCTCAGATCGTGCTTTGTTACGTTCTCTTTTAGTAAAAATGTGTAAACTATAAACAATGAAACAGTAAAAACAATGATGTGTATAACAAGGATTCGGATTTTTGGTTGCTGTGAAGGACTTATCGGAAAATCACTAGAATGAAATATAATTATATAGTAAACCAAAAGGCGTTTGAAGAGAAGTTGAGATAGACTTAGAGTTTCTTATGATAGAGCAGTACTTACAGACAGCTGATACTTTTTTCTCAACAGGAACCTAAGCTAATGTTTAGCTTACCATGATGAAATTGCTTTAATTCATCGGTGAACTGAACAGATTGAAGATTTAACTACAAATAAAAGAATTATTTTTGGAAATGACCATCTTTTTGTTTAACTCTTTCCTTTACAGTTCATAATTGTTGCCAGAATGAGAAGCACTAGTGGCATCAGTCACAGATAATGATGATGGTATTGAAGATCCAGATAGTGCTTTTAATTTTTGGACAACAAAAGCGTGTGCCCATCATGATATGGCAGTTACAACATCGAATTTTGCACAATATTTAATCGATATTCATGTTAAAACAAGTTGTATATCCAACAAGAAGTATATCCTCGTCTATGTGCTGTATTTCAATCGTTTGACAAAGCGTGTACGATAATCAACTCAAACACAAATTAAAAAAACATTTTTTTCAAAAACACCAAAGAGTCTCTATAATAAAGATTGACCACTTATTTATATTAAAAGAGATGCTTAAATCTAGTGGTATCTCACCTTCACACACTGTTATGCCGGTAGTAGAGTCGTTGACCGCAATTAGAACACCAAAAATTCCGTGTTGACTATTTTCTAGTTTTTAAAGCCATTTCTTAACATTGGAAGAAAGTTTTTAGTTTAGAAGAATCAGGTCTATCTATCTATGTAAAAATATTTAAGATTCTTTTGTTCCTCTTTTATTAATTAGGAGGAGAATGAAGACTGTTTTAAGTTTCTTTTCTTTCGTGCCTGTTCCAAATTAGTACACAACATGTGTTCTTCCCTCCTATTTAGAACACATCCATACAAATGCATGGAGATTTACAATGTAGTTGAAGAAAAAGATTTCTTGGCTGACGAAGTTGAGTGAAATCTTCAAAATTTTATATAAAAGTACTCGGTGAATCGAACCATGTAATTTTTGACAAAAATAGATCTTTTTTTGTGTATGTATTCTATAATTAGTGCACTTATATTCGTGTTCTAATTTTTTCCTGTCCAGATAAGAACGCGTCGTGCTTTTTTTGTTGCTATTTAGAACACTTGACAAATACATGCACTTTGTGAGTGAATTTAGAAAAAAAGACGCGGGCGCTACACAAAGTACAAAATTGAGACATATGTTTGAAACAAAACTTGTATTATCGTATGAAAATCGTATTGACGAAAATCGTGATCAGCACATAGTATCAGTAGGAGCAGAAGAGGATGCAAGTGATCTGTTCTGATCGTGTAAGGTATGTTTAACGGTAAAAACTAGCAGAGAGAGAGAGAGAAGGTATCCACAGTTTCAATATGTTTAACTTTCAATACACATAGGCACGTTGAATTTGATATCGAGAATAGCTTATTTGTATTTTTTTACAAGGACTTAGTAACTTAACACGTTTACCACCACTTTGACAATCGTAAATTGTATGGTGATCTCGTGTGAATTAACTAGATGGATCATAAAAATCAATTTCGTCTACCAACTAAATTACATAGTAGTTAAATCTAAACAGTTACTATAGATCTGCTGTAAATAGCTACAAATATGAACCTCCTTTCATTCTGTAATGTTAGCACATTTAAAAATAGATTTTCTAGACACGAAAAAAGTTAGAAACCTGTTAATTATGCATCGATAGCAGAAATAACATATTTCAAAATACAGAATTTGACAGCTGAATTTGTTGCAAAAAACTTTACGAACTTTAAAAAGCACTCTCTAATAAATAAAAAAAACCTCTCTTTCAATCCTCCTCTTTCACCTCGCTAATCTGATTTTTTTATATCATTTCATTTTTTTTACGGTGTCGATCTACAGTCAACACAATTCTCAAAGGCTGATAACAAAGCGAAGCGGCTTGTATAACATTCTAAAAATCTTATATAAATTCACTCAGAGTACCTTTCACGAGCTTTTCCGATTTTCTCTTTAAAAAAAATCTATTTTAATCGATTAGGAGAAAATAATTTTTATCAAGTTTTAACATGAATAGCTAACATTGAGTCATGTGCAGTTATTAAGCGAGAAACTAAAATACAAATTGATGAAGATAAAAAAGCATGCCACCCGATGTAGCTTTCAATGCTCTATTCAACCATATGTAAATTATTTCATTTGCTCAATGGATCAAAACTCAAAAACCAGTTGAAGACGGTCCATCTTCTACTGTTTCTCATTTAGTTATAAATCTGGGTTGATGAGCATGCAGTAATAGAAAGTCAAAAACATAACAAAACAGTATCAGTTCAGTGGAACTCGTTTCTAGCGTTTCGAAAAATATTTTTCGGCTTTCATACTACGACTGTTTTATACCCTCGTAATATTTGTCCTCTAGAGGAGGGCCGTCTGATGGACCTCAAATACAATGCTTGTCGTAAAACGCGTGTAAAATCAAAAAAAATCCTCACAATGAGCTCGCTAATGTTTCATTTTGTAGAAAAACGTTTGCTCTATATCTGAAAGCAAGACCGATTTTTGGAAAATTTTTCGAAGCCGGATTTCCAGAGTATCTTTGGAAAACGAGTTTAGATTTTTCGAAATTTAAATCGGAATCTATTGATTGTTTTGTGGCATATATAGTCGAAAGTATTCCTACAAAATCGGATCCAAACGACATCTTGAAAACCCATGATTCGGGAGCTATGGACGTATTTTCTAAAGCCTTAGCACACCTCTGCCGTTAGGTTTGGGACTGTCAGAAATGAATGAAAACATGGGTCTTTTCAGTATTTTGCATTTTTCTCAGTCAAAACTCGGTCTAAACTCAAGAAAAAGGTGATATTCGTGATCACCGCGCTCTAATGAATCACAATATATATAATAGAGGCAAAATGAATTCCACTGCATTTTTGCATTAGCTGTACCTTATAAAGTTCCGCACAAAGCCAACAACGATGGTTGTAGGGCTGTGACAGTTACGGTTACCGAGTAACGGCGCGCTGTAACACTAATGGTAACTGGTACAGCCGTTGATGGATAGCTTGTACACAAAAGTCCCATAGTCGCGGGATATTCACTCTGCTATGGCTCGATGCCGATGCAACTGAAGATAAGCTCGACACGCAACTCAAACTAAGAAGTGCCATCAATTGTATGAACACGTTCACATCTGTGTGTACTGCATGGATGAAGACAGCAGCGAGAAGTAATCTAGTACATTCTTCTAGTGAATTTCATCTCATGGCCTATGATAACGATTGTCAATGAAAACTAAACACACATTCGATTTTTCTTCCTTTCACAATCTTCACAGGTGTGAGCGGTGCGCAAATATTGACAGTCACTACGTAAACTCAAAGAAAATAGACAAACAAACTTCGAAGACATTTTACTTTTCAACTATTTTGGTGTTGATTTCTACGGTAAAATGAGGGTAGGTAGCTAATTTGTTGTGCTTTCGTTGGTCTACACACCGCAAAAGCAGTACTACCATGATTGTGCTTCCAATATCCTCTGAGTTGCGTTGTGTAGGAATATGGCCTATGGTGCAGCTTTCTTATATTACAGTAGATTTTCTTACAAGGAAACCTTTCCAGGTGTCCGACCGCTTTTCTAATGAAATGCGGTAATTGATAGGTAATCGACCATGCTGATTTCGAATATGATAGCCGTTTTTTGCCCGTAGACCTTTCCTAATCGGTTTCTGAAAACTAGTTTTCCAAAAACCTCGATTAATCCCCAAGAGTTTTTCTAAATAAGCCACGACTGCAGCTCGCGAAATTCTGATTAAAATGAGACATCTCCCAGCTCTGCACGACCTTTCTTTTCAAAGTTATAGAATTCACAATAAAAGCCCTAAATGTTTATTATCACCTCAGAGCTACAGAAAGAAGAAGGAAAGATGAATTTAGGGCTTTTCTTGTGAATTGTATAACTTCACAAAGCAAGGCCGTGTAGAGCTGAGAGATGTATCATTTCAGTCAGAATTTCGCGGGCCACAGTCGTGGCTTATTTGGAAAAACTCTTGGGGATTTTTTGAGGTTTCTGGAAAACCAGTTTTACAGAAACCGGTTAGGAAAGACCTATGGGCAAAAACCACTGTCGTATTCGGAATCAGCATGGTCGATTACCTGTCAACTACCGCATTTCGTTAAAAAAGCTGTCAGACACCTGGAAAGGTTCCCTCGTTAGACAACGTGAGTGCTACATCTAAACTAAGCAAAATAAATTTTACGAATGTAACAGTAAACGACACTTGTTAGGATTTTTTTTGATTTTACACGCGTTTTACGACAAGCATTGTATTTGAGGTCCATC